GTGTTTTCTATTAATAAATGATTTACTCTTAAAAGAAATTTACAAATTTAAAAAGAAGGAAACAATCAAAATTTAAGATCCCAATCATTTCTTTAAAATTATTATAAACAAAATAATTACATATTAATTAAAATTTAATCATTTTTTAATTAAAGCAAATTCAAATAATTAATTAGGACAATACATTTTAGAAGATAAAGTAATAAATGATAATAGAATATAAGTATGGTAATTAATTAATACTAAAGTTTAAAATCAGGTTATTCCTTTAATCATCTTAAGATTAAAAAAGTGTGCAAAAGGTGAATTGTTTAATATGTATTATTGATCAAGTCATAAATCCATATTTATATAGATTTCTGCTATAAATATATTTATTATTTCAACATAATTAAATATTAAACTATATGAATTATAAATTTAAATCATATTTATATTTAAAAATAATTCAATTTATTACTAATTAAATACATATTCTCCCTATTATTATACTTACAACTTATACTTACTTCACTTCACAACTAAAAAAATTTAATCAATTATTAAATTAACAATTATATAAAAAATATATTTACAAACTCTCATCTTTACAAGTTTCTAATTATCTCTCACCTATTAAACTAAAAAATAATGAATATCCTAAAAATGTTAATACGAGTAGTATTCTTAAACAATTCCTTACTTTATCAATAAGATCAAATTGTGAAGTTGAAGATGATAACATCTATTGGGTATTACTTTTTTATTTTTTAGTGCAATTTTACTATGCTAAACCATAGAATAGTCTAATATTAATATAACATCTCCCTGAGGCTCTAATACTATGTTTAATAGGTATACTACATATGCATTTAGCATTTTATTTCACAAAATTATCCATTCTAATTTATTAATAAACAAATAACTTTATAATATACCATTCTTTATTATTATTATGAAAATTTAGAATCAAATTAGTATTCAAGAGTCAACTCAGTTAAGCTTATAATTTATCTGATATAATAACTAGTGAGTATTAAATCAATGTAGCTATAATAAAAACTATAGCGTATATTAAGCAAATGTTAAGAT